ATGGTGGGCGCCTTGATGGGCTTGGGCACCTCCGTGGGGGGCAGGATCTAGGGTTGGGGAGGGTTGCGTGTGACGTGGGTGACAGTCCTTGGAGGGGGAGGTCCTTGGAGACCTCGGGAGGTCTCCAAGGTCGGCCACCCCCTTGGAATCATCGAATCATTCAGGTTGGAAAAGACCCTTGGGATTGGGAAGAAGTTCTCGGTCTCTGGAGGCATCGAGTCCGACCATCAACCCTACTCTACAAAGTCCTCCCCTACCCCGTATCCCCCCCAACGGCTCTTAAACTCATCCAAGGGTGGGGACTCAACCCCCTCCCCTTCTCCATCCCCCCACCCCCACCCCCGAGCTCACCTCCACGTAGTTGGAGGGGAAGATGCCCACGCGGCCGTGGTGCTCGCCCTCCAGCCAGTTCCTGTCCACCTCCTTGTGGATGTAGACGATGTCCCCCTTCTGCAGCGTCAGCTCCCTGGGGAACAGGGACACCGCTGGCCCCACTCCTGGGGGACACCCCCCCATCCCCAGCCCTCACCCCACATCCCGGGGCTCCTCTGGTCCCAAGAGGGACCATGGGGGGGACCCCCAGCAGCTCCATCACTTACTTGGGTGACTCAGCTTGGAAGTCAAACTTGAGGCGAGCAGCTTTCATCTGGGGGGGGGAAAAGAGTGGTTATGGGGGGGACACCCTCCATCCCACCCATCCCAGGTCCCATATGGGGTGGGACCACCCCAGCCTCACCTTCTTCTCCTCCTTCCTGATGGCCTCCGTGGGGTCCCCCATGTCCGACAGGCTGGGGAGGGTCCCTGGCCGGAGGGTGAACCCTACTCTACAAAGTCCTCCCCTACCCCGTATCCCCCCCAACGGCTCTTAAACTCATCCAAGGGTGGGGACTCAACCCCCTCCCCTTCTCCATCCCCCCACCCCCACCCCCGAGCTCACCTCCACGTAGTTGGAGGGGAAGATGCCCACGCGGCCGTGGTGCTCGCCCTCCAGCCAGTTCCTGTCCACCTCCTTGTGGATGTAGACGATGTCCCCCTTCTGCAGCGTCAGCTCCCTGGGGGACAGGGACACCGCTGGCCCCACTCCTGGGGGACACCCCCCATCCCCAGCCCTCACCCCACATCCCGGGGCTCCTCTGGTCCCAAGAGGGACCATGGGGGGGACCCCCAGCAGCTCCATCACTTACTTGGGTGACTCAGCTTGGAAGTCAAACTTGAGGCGAGCAGCTTTCATCTGGGGGGGGGAAAAGAGTGGTTATGGGGGGGACACCCTCCATCCCACCCATCCCAGGCCCCATATGGGGTGGGACCACCCCAGCCTCACCTTCTTCTCCTCCTTCCTGATGGCCTCCGTGGGGTCCCCCATGTCCGACAGGCTGGGGAGGGTCCCTGGCCGGAGGGTGTCTGCAAAGAGTAGTGTTGGGGGGTGTCAATGGGGTGTCCATGGGGTGCCCCATGGCATGGCTTGGGGTTGGGGGGGTGCTCACCTCTGCTGGGGGCTACACGGCTCCGGTCACTGGCCAGTCCCGGGCCACCCCGCTCCATGGTGGGGCTGGCGGGCAGGCGGTGGGTGCTGGGGGGGCTCTGCAGCCCGCGGGGTGACAGGGGGCTCTTGCGGGGTGACAGGGGGCTCCTGGAGGGGGGGTGACAGCGGCTCAGGGCAGGGGCTCAGCCCCACATCCAGCCCCTGGGACACTGGTGTCCCCCATCCATACAGCCCCCCAGGACCCTGGGTCCCCTGGGACCAGGATGGTGGGGTCCCCTGGCTCCAGAGCCCCCAGGACACTGGAATGGTGGGGTCACCCATCCACAGAGCCCCCCGAACCCTGGGTACCCCAGGACTAGGACACCGGTGTCCCCCATCCACAGAGCCCCCCAGGACCCTGGGTCTCCTGGGACCAGGACACTGGCGTCCCCTGGCTCCAGAGCCCCCAGAACACTGGGACATCGGGGTCCCCCAGCTGCAGAGCCCCCTGAACCCTGAGTACTCCAGGACCAGGACACCGGTGTCCCCCATCCACAGAGCCCCCCAGGACCCTGGGTCTCCTGGGACCAGGACACTGGCGTCCCCTGGCTCCAGAGCCCCCAGAACACTGGGACATCGGGGTCCCCCAGCTGCAGAGCCCCCTGAACCCTGAGTACTCCAGGACCAGGACACCGGTGTCCCCCATCCACAGAGCCCCCCAGGACCCTGGGTCCCCTGGGACCAGGATGGTGGGGTCCCCTGGCTCCAGAGCCCCCCAGGACACTGGGATGCTGGGGTCCCCAACTGTAGAGTCCTCCCAGGACCCCCAGGACTGGGATGGTGGGGTCCACCAGCTGCAGAGCCCCCCCGCACCCCAGGTCCCCCCAGGACTGGGACACTGGTGTCCCCCATCCATACAACCCCCCAGGACCCCAGGTCCCCCGGGACCAGGACATTGGGGTCCCCTGGCTCCAGAGCCCCCCAGGACACTGGGATGATGGGGTCCACCAGCTGCAGAGCACCCCCACACCCCAGGTCCCCCCCAGGACTGGGAAGCTGGGGTCCCCCACCTGCGGAGTCTGCCCAGGACCCTGGGTCCCCAAGGACTGGGACACTGGTGTCCCCCATCCATACAACCCCCCAGGACCCTGGGTCCCCTGGGACCAGGATGGTGGGGTCCCCTGGCTCCAGAGCCCCCCAGGACACTGGGATGCTGGGGTCCCCAACTGTAGAGTCCTCCCAGGACCCCCAGGACTGGGATGGTGGGGTTCCCCAGCTGCAGAGCCCCCCAAATCCTGGGTCACCTGGGACCAGGATGCCCGTGTCCCCCATCCACAGAGCCCCCCAGGACCCTGGGTCCCACAGGACCAGGATGGTGGGGTCCCCTGGCTCCAGAGCCCCCCAGGACACTGGGACATTGGGGTCCCTGGCTGCAAAGTCCCCCCAGGACTGGAACAGTGGGGTCCCCCAGCTGCAGAGCCCCCCGAACCCTGGGTCACCTGGGACCAGGACACTGGGGTCCCCTGGCTCCAGAGCCCCCAGGACACTGGGACTAGGACCTTGGGTCCCCCAGGACTGGGACAGTGGGGTCCCCCAGCTGCAGAGCCCCCCCCGGACACCAAGTCCTGTGGGACTGGGACACTGGTGTCCCCCATCCACAGAACCCCTAGGGCCCAGGACACTGGGGTCCCCTGGCTCCAGAGCCCCCAGGACACTGGGATATCGGGGTCCCCGGCTGCAGAGTCCCCCCAGGACCAGGACAGTGGGGTCCCCCAGCTGCAGAGCTCCCCGGACCCTGGGTCCCCTGGCTCCAGAGCCCCCCAGGACACTGGGATGCTGGGGTCCCCAACTGTAGAGTCCTCCCAGGACCCCCAGGACTGGGATGGTGGGGTTCCCCAGCTGCAGAGCCCCCCAAATCCTGGGTCACCTGGGACCAGGATGCCCGTGTCCCCCATCCACAGAGCCCCCCAGGACCCTGGGTCCCACAGGACCAGGATGGTGGGGTCCCCTGGCTCCAGAGCCCCCCAGGACACTGGGACATTGGGGTCCCTGGCTGCAAAGTCCCCCCAGGACTGGAACAGTGGGGTCCCCCAGCTGCAGAGCCCCCCCCGGACACCAAGTCCTGTGGGACTGGGACACTGGTGTCCCCCATCCACAGAGCCCCCCAGGACCCTGGGTCCCACAGGACCAGGATGGTGGGGTCCCCTGGCTCCAGAGCCCCCCAGGACACTGGGACATTGGGGTCCCTGGCTGCAAAGTCCCCCCAGGACTGGAACAGTGGGGTCCCCCAGCTGCAGAGCCCCCCCCGGACACCAAGTCCTGTGGGACTGGGACACTGGTGTCCCCCATCCACAGAACCCCTAGGGCCCAGGACACTGGGGTCCCCTGGCTCCAGAGCCCCCAGGACACTGGGATATCGGGGTCCCCGGCTGCAGAGTCCCCCCAGGACCAGGACAGTGGGGTCCCCCAGCTGCAGAGCTCCCCGGACCCTGGGTCCCCTGGCTCCAGAGCCCCCCAGGACACTGGGACGATGGGGTCCAC